AAAGAAACAAGCTGGGGGGTCAAAAAAACAAGGTGGAGGTGTCAAAAAAAAACAAGGTGGGGGGGGTCAGAAAAACAAGGTTAGGGGCCCTAGTTAGGGTTTAAAAAACAGTGGGTCAAAAAAACAAGGTGGGGGGTCAAAAAACAAGGGGGGGTCAAAAAGACAAGGTGGGGGGTCAAAGAAACAAGGGGCCCCACCTTAATTCCGGGTTATTTCCCAAAATCATGAAACACTTTTTTCCCTGGTAAAACTGCAATTTTCACCTTAATTTCCATGAAAATCTATTTTTTCCTGGTAAACTTGCAAGTTTCATCTTAATTCTACATTAATTCCAACATATTTCCCAAGAATCTGACTGTATGGTGGAAAAAGTGTGATTTTCACCTTCAATCCAAGTTATTCCCAAAAACCATTAAAATCGATTTCTCGAAGCAAGCCATTCCACCAAACATCACAACTGCAACAACTTTTTTGCGGGAAAGTCAGATTTAGGAATTTCATTTCACATTAGCACTATCTGTTTCCCGATTCAGGACTTTTGCATATTTATTCATAATTTGGCCTTTATTCAGGGTTATTTCCAGAAGTCCCACATGCATGTGAGTTGGATCTCAAGCAGTCATCATGGCAGCCCGGCTAAGAAATAAGGCCTTATTCGTGATTGGGAAATAACCCTGAATTAAGGCCCGATTGGTGCTTATTTCAGGGTTAGTTCGCAAGGGGGGGTCGTAGAGGGGGGGGTGCAATTTTATGATATGTTCATCTATGTTCAGATAAAACTGCTTCTCTGAGGGAGTTTCGAACAAGTTTTGAAAGAACGAAACCAATGTAAAATCAGTGATACGAGTAAAATGTGGCAAATCATGATAACGCATGATAAATCAATATCATTGAATCATCAGATTCTCATCAGCCCTGTTGTTCTTTCATTGGAACCGCCTGCGCGGGCTGTGACAATGGTGTTGTGTGCACCACTCACTGCAGGGCCGTGGTCTGCGGTGACCATCAAAATCATCTCAATGAACTTGGTGCAGTATTCCTTGTGCTTCGAAGTGCTTTAGGCAGTGCAAAGTTGGCCGAATTACTACTAACATCGACTAACATCTACTAACTACTCAAAATGAATATCTATGAAAGCCATCGAAGTGTTACCACTTACCATTAGTGCATTCCTTTCATGATCTCAGTGATATGTCAAAATGCGAGGTCTATGAGGTCTTTCAGCAAATGCTCTGAGATCCCGTCCGGGAGCTGTCGGCGGAACCACAGCAGAGAAAGCACGCCTCCGATGCCAATGTCCTGAAATCGTGTCGATGTCTTCGTCAAACGTGACATCTTTCGGATGCTGGGGTGCAGTCCTTCGTGAAGACATCGGAGATAGACATGCCACAGTAGGTGAGCTCCTGGGAATTGGTTGACGTTGCCGATGTCATCCGATGTCAACTCTGTTCAATATTGAAAGCACAAATTGGCAGCCTTTTCAACGTTAAGATCATTGGGATAGGTTAAGATATGTCAAATATACGTAACATTATGTAACCATGTATATACACACAAAATGAATCAAAATGGTCTGCATCTCAAACTGTCCTCTCCACGATCATCAGAGATAGATGAGATGAAGTTGGCAGGCTTCCTGGTGTACCGGAAGTCTGCTGGCAGGGACATAAAAATGCCTTTAAAAGGTTTGAAGAACATTGTAACATTGAATGACAAACTCTCCATGCCATGAAGATCCAGCTTGCCTGATCATGCCCAGCTTCTTGGCCCAGGTATAGTCCATTGGCACCTACACAAGTCACTCGGCAATTGTCTGCATCTGCAAAAAAACCTAACCGATGAGACTCGGTAAAAGCTGACTGAGCTTGCGTCGGAATCTTCATACAGTAGAAAGGCAAACACAAAAATGATTCAGAATGGCTGATTGTGATTTCAATACATTTCAAATCTTGTGATGGAACCTGCCATCTGTGTCTCGATCTTTGACACCTGATTCCAAATCAGCTGATCAATGCTCGGCTCGGTCATGCCTGAGGGGTCTCGCCTTCTGGCGTCTCCACAATTTCGCCCTCCATGACGAGCTGTGTGTAAACCTGCGATTCATGCAAGTTCCAAGATGTTCTATTGCAAGGATCCTGAATTGTGAACCCTTCAACCAATCTTCAACCTATTGAAAAAATGGCCTGGTTGATCATGTCCGGCAATTTGTCGAAGGAGTCTGGGACGAAAAATCCTGCTTCCTTCATGGCCTGCACAGGAAAGCGTTACAATTCCCCGTGAAGGCACTGACCCGGTGACTACCACCGTCGGACCTTGTTCTTCGCAGCTGCAGTCTCCATGTCACCTCGAGCCTGCAGTGCGAAATATTAGTTATGTATAGTATAGTTATGTAAAGTTATGTATGTAGATTATATGTAGATTATGTAGATGCAAGAGATGGCAAAACCTGCAAAACAAAAATAGCCGGCCTGGGCACCGGCATGTCCGAACTGCACCTGATGCAGTCAAAAGCCAACAGCTTGACACTGACAAAATTGCCGACATGACGACAACTCCTTGCAAATGTCCAGATCTTGCCATCCTTTATTTTATATCTGTTGCTTCAAACAATCACCAAATCATTCCAAATCTGACGTGTACATCCTCAGCCTGACCAAAACCCAAATCATCCCAAATATTCCCAAATCATCCCAAATCAAATTCCACCACTGGAAATCCCTAAGGGACAGATAGAAATCACTTAGAAATTAGGCCGTTTTGCCCATGCAATGCCTCGGTGGTGAAGCAGGATGCGCAAGTACCGACGCACCAGGCAATCACTGGCTTTGTGATGCGGCCCTTCTTCTTGGCCTGGCAGTACCGCACATGATGTGCATTTTGAGACCATGTGAGCCATGTCCGAGTCCAAAACTGATCAAAATTATCCGAAATCCAAATCTCTATCTTGAGAGTAACACCTCTGACAATAGACGCGGCTAAGACACAAAGAAAACGGAAAAATGCAATGCATGTGCAAAGACATGCCATGACTGTTCTTTCCGATCTGAAATCTGGGGCCTCAATGAGGTCGTACTCGTCCAGGCCACCAACTTCACCCAGCAAGAGCAGCATCTTTGCCTTGGGGTCGTCCTGAACGAGACCACATGGATCTTGCCTAGTCTCTCGTTGTCACGTTGTCCAAGGTGTTCAAAACATTTCAAAACCATTCAACCAAAATTGATGAAAATTGTGGATTTGTCATCGGCTTATGTGGTGCATTACATGAATTCTGTCCAAATATGTCCAAATCACAAACAAAAACATCAAACGAAATTACGTGTTGATCTGCAATCTCCTGGTATCGCAGGAAGTGGTCCAAGAAGCGGCTGCCAGGGTAGCGGTCACCACCTTGCCAACATGCAGAACAGCACTGGTGCGGTAGTGGTACAGAGTTAGCCACACGACCTGAAGGCATCTGAAGGCTTTGAGGCCAGGGCCAATTGCCACACCTTCATAAACACCATCGGAGTTGCGGGCAACGATGTTGTTCAGCTCATTGGACCTGTGACAAGACATGACAAGACTGTCCCTGTCGCCAAGAGTGCGACATGGCGAAATGCCATGACTTTGGATATCCCTGGCACTGTGGCCCCAGCATTCCTCCGGACTTGGAGACATAGGCAACAGATCCAGGGCGGTACAGGCGAGACATCACAATGTTGTCCAACCTGAAAAGGAGTGGTCACCAGCCGCCCACTCTTCAAGCTATTCAAGCTCTAGGAGTTTGACATGTTCACTGTTCATCTTGCTTCTTCCAACTGGGTGGTTGACATGCCGCCAGTGTTGCCAATGCGCAGACAGCCCGGCTTGATGCCACCCACAGTGGCTGGGCCAATGATGCCTGCAGTGTTCTTGACCGGAAAAATTGCACGAAGAGTGGCCTTGTGGACATAGTCGTACAGGAAACGCAAACAAATTCGTTGCCTCTATTTTTTGGGGGACTGCTCTTTTTGTTCTTGTGACCCTCCTGTTTCTTTTGCCTCTTCCTCAATCCACTTATTGCAACACACTAGGGTCGCCCTGAAGGGAGCTTGAATGGCACAACCGTTTGTAGGTTACATGTTTCGAGGCGAAAAGATGCGAAAAGCATAGTCTGAAGAATCGGGCTAAAAAGGTTGAACAGCGGATCCCTTGTCCTGATTCTTTCCGCCTATTTACCACTGCCACAACCGTGCTTTTTGGTACTCTAGAGTCTCTAGAGAGCTTTCAAGGTCATTTATTTGGCACAGCTGGATATAGTTGGATTCTGTCTTTTTTCCCGCATTTTGGACGACAGACTTGATTTTCCCGGTGGCAAATTGGCAAATCTTGTGAAATTTTATCCCGCAGTGACAACTGGTCTAGCCACTTGCCACTACTGGATCACCCTAGGCAGCAGGCAGCGTCTGAAACACAACATAATATACATAATGACATGATAGAACTGTTTGCCCTGGGTTTGCCCTGCCATGCCCTGCCTACACCCTTCTGCTCTGCGACCTTGATGATGTCGCGGGTCTGTTGCTCTGGCACACCCTGGTCACCAAGATGGACTGAAACAGCAGCACTTGAAACTGCCAAAACTCTGGGAATCTCCGACAAAAAACCTGCAAGTTAGCAGTAACCTGCCGGCAAGTTAGCAGTATCATCCAGTATCACTTTTCACAGCACGACACGATTGAATCCAGAAGTCCCTTCAACCGCCAAAGGCCAACTCGCAAAACAGCCTCTGCAATGATGGCGATGGTCTTGAGGTTGGTGTAGTTCATTGCCTGCAGATAATGCTAATCCTGCTAATCACTATATAAAAGCCTTGTTAAAGCTTGACGCAACTATATAATTACAGTCGCTCCATCTAAATCATGCTTGCAATACCTTAGAAAATCTTAGAAATATGATGAAATATGCACAAGCATTTCTTCTTGGCCTCCAGGGTTGTCTCGTGCACTGATCGGAATGACGCGAAGTTCACGAACACGGAAGTGTTGGGGTGCTTCTGCACTGCCTGACCCAGAGCAATGTGTGAGACTTCAAGATCATGATGTGCGAATTGAACTGACTGTATGATAATGCTTTATACTTCTTATTGTAATGCAATGTACATATGCATACAGCATCATGCAGTACGAGTAATATGCAGCAATAAATTATAATAACTTAGTTGACGTTTCCACGGCACAAGAGCCCTGACCTCCTTTGTGGTGGTGTAGACAGGCATCAAGATCTGCAGAGGGTTGGAATTCCAGAAAATCCTCCAGAATTTTGAAGAGTCAACAGAGCCTTGCCTCTTCAGTGCCCCAGTAGAACTTCACCTCGAGATGACTCGCGGCTGCCGATGGTACAGTAATATATGAAACAACCGTATGGAACACCTGAAATTTAGACAAATTTAGTATGACAGGCAAGCGGCGTAGTGGTTTCCTTAGTTCAAAAACACATGCAAATACAGGGACAAGAGAACTCTTGCGCATCTCAAGACAATTCGAGAGACTACACTTCACAAGTCAGTATTAACAGTAACATGTGATAAATTATCAATTATCACATGAATTCAATCGGGATGCAGCCGCACGCATCAAGATCAATGCAGGCAGGCAACCGGAGAAAGGGAAAATCATAGCCTCGACGGAAGGCTTCTTGCCTGCAGCCGGAGCATCTGGTCTGCTCTGACAAGGTCATTTGACAAATCTGAGGGAGGGGCGTTTGCACATGTAGTCGAAATCCAACATTCCTGTCCACATTCCATCAACTGGAAGTGTGTGTGTGTGTGTGCGCGAGGCGGAGGAACACCGCAAAACAGTGCAAAATAGTACAAAACAGTACACAACTGCAAAACATCGCATTCTATGGTGCAATTTGTCTACTTAAGACATCTCAAGACTCTGATCGACTCTGATCACCTTGAACAGCGCGGTTCTGCATACCATAGACAATCGATGTGGTGTCTGGCCTGCATGGCCCCCCGGCATGTCATAACATGTCATAACTGCGGGACAACACACATTGACCAAGACAATCAAATCAAGGTCAAGCAGCACCGATGGACCAGTCATCACCAATCCCAGATGAGGCTAAGTCTTCCACGTGGCTGTGACCAAGGTGTGCTTAGTTCCTGAGTTTCTTCATGTTTCTTCTCACTTCCAACATCTTCCAACTGCAAGGCCCGCAAGATCTCGCAAGGCTTTAAGATTGTTTAAGATTGTTCAAGATTCACGAATTTCTTGAAGTCGCGCCTGCGGGTGCTGGTGGGTGGCCCTTGCCGACTGGCCTGGCAACGGGGCAACGGTGATGCCTAGCAGCTAGCACCTGACCCAAGACATCCCCAGATCTAACATGACCTCACTACGTCTGAAACGTCATGGCATATCATGGCATCTGAACACTGATGAACCCCGTAAGCTTGTGACTTGGCTCCCTTGAGGTCAATCATTTTGCGGACCTTGGCGTAGTTTCTGCACATTGTGTACGTAATTTCTGCTTTTCTCTGAGTGTGAAGTTGGGGGAAATCATTGAAGCTGAAATCTGCTCACTTGAGTCATGTTGAGTCATGTTGAGTCCCTTGTTTTTTTAAATTGGGACGAACATGTTTTGAAATGTTTCAAAATATAAGAAAATGATAGAGATAGAACATGATAGGACGATATAGAAAGTTCTTCTCAGGTCCATGCAGGTGGTCCAGCTGGAGCGGAAAGGTCTGGCTCTGGAAGAGGGTCCACCAGGCCCAGGGCCATGGGGATGATTGCGGTGATGTGGGTCTCAGGACCATAAACCTTGCGCAAAAAATGCAAACTGTGAAAACATGTTCAATCATGTCAAGATATGTCAAGATATGTCAAGATATGTCAAGATATGTCAAGATGACTTCAAGAACAAAAAGCTTTCAACGAAAGGATCCAAAAAGTCATGAGATTTTGACACTCTAAAGCCGCTCCGGCCGCCTTGATGCCAAGGCCCAACTTGTCACTGGCGGCCTTGACCTTACGCAAACCTTCCAAGTAGTTTGGCCCTGCACGACGGATCAAGATCTTGATCTTGTTCTCCTGGTCCAAGTAGCGTGTTAAAGATTGGGGATAACTTGATATCCAAATCCATTGCTTCCCTACCATCAACTTTAGGATCGGTATGCACGAGTTTAATTTTCTGACACCATCCCAAATCTCATCGGTTTCTGAAGATTTCCGGAGCTGGCCTTGATGTCATCGGCATACTCCTGCAGAGCCTTGATGAGGCCTGTGAAGGTTGCTGCAACGTCGGTGAAGTTGGCAATGCCACCACCAATGATCAGGAACTTTCCTTCTGGGTGCTTGTACTTCATCATCAAAGAAAGCAGAGTCTTGGCATAGACAAAAGTCTCTTCAGTGGAAGGGGCTCCAGAATACTCACCGTAGTTGGCAAGTTCATGGCCCATGCCGTAATCTGCAACCGTGTCTGCGTACACCACAGAAGCACCTCCTCCTGCAACCATGGTCCAAACACGGCCCTTCTCATTGAGGATCGTCAATTTCAGGGATGCACCCGTTCGGCCATCCATGTCTCGGATCAGAGCTTCCTCAGGATATGCTGCGCGGCCAAAGGGAGGTGGCCAATCAAGCTCTCCCCACTTCTGTGCGGTCAGGAAGTTGGCAGTCTCATCAAGTTTGGCTGCCATGTCTAGTGGCACCACGGTGTTGTCATCCAACATGACCAAAGGGTTGATCTCCAAGTATGCAAAGTGCAAGTCAGTGTAGAACTTGTACAAACTGCAAATGAACGAGGCCATGTTTCCCTGCTTTGCAGGGTTCAGTTTGGTGAGCAGCTTCTGGGTCACGGTAGCTTCCGTCAAAGCCTCACCTGTTGGAATTTCCAAACGCTCAGCCTTTGCATCCACATCGCCGACATCCACCCCACCTTCATGGTAAAAGAGAATTTCGTCATGGTAGCGATGGGAAAGCATGCAGATGTAGTGTTCCTGTTCTTGCTTGTGAGGCACAAAAGGTTCGACGAGGAAGTGCGTGAGCTGCCCAGTCACGTGCTCGACTTTCTGCTCTTTGCACATTCGGTCCATCACCCACTGCTTTGCCTCGTCAAAAGTCTTGTTCACCGCAATCAGGCCAGCCTTGCCACGTCGCTTGATCAGCTGATCTGGCTTGGCCACCAAGTTGGTGGTCTTCAACCAGGGGTTCTGCTCCAAGATCTTGTCCCAACTGCCATTGCTGGTGGAATCCAACACGGAGGGTGTCACGAGAACTCCGGCATGACCCATCTTGTGCTTGCCCCCAGAAATCTCTGGCAGCAGCTTCTCCAACAAAGCCTTGCCTGCATGCTCCCGAATCGGTTTCACGGACATGGCTGACCAACGACTGGAAACAGGTGCTGTACTTTCTGGACTCTCAAAACGGCTGCAAAAAGACAAAGTACAGGCAACAGCACAAGCAGCATGTTCGGCTACAAGATTTGCTAAACAAACTGAACTCTAGAAGCACCACCAATCTAGGTTCGCTAAGCAGCTGGAAATAACTGGCAACAACGGCAACAACTGAAAATAGCTGGAAGCAAAAATTATTCAACTTAAGGTGCACCTTGTAGAGCACCAAAGCTCTTTCCTCCCCCATTTTGCGAAGTTCGCGGGCCATCTCCAGAGCTTTGCCCAAGGCAGCATCATGCCCTGTCGGAAAGGAATTGCAGCTCGCAAAAAGGCTGGAATATTCAGGGACATCATAGCTGACTGACAGCTGGGAAGCATTTTGGAAGCGGAAATTTCGTGCAAATATGTGCAAATAGCTATCTTTGGGGTTCTTTGGGCTTTATATGGCTTTATTATCTTCGTGCCTTCTTGATTCATCAACTGAATGGAAAGCAGAAAATCTTCTCTATCAAACTCTTGGATTGCAGCCCTTTACAAGCTTTCTTTGAAGGCCTTGTGGAGGGCAGCCTCCAGTGCCAGCAATGCCGAAGCAATGTTGCCTGTACCTTGAAATTGCATATGACTTTGGACTGAAATATCATGAAAAAAGATGAAAAAAACATGAAATATCTGTTTCAGAGCTCAGAGTGTTTACCTCAAAAGCCTGCTGGTATCTTGTGCATTCTTGTGCTGCATGGCAGGTTCGGAATTGCACATGAAGCAGTCAAAGAGGTGTGCATCGAAGGCAGCAGACGCGGGAGCGTTCGCTGCCAAATTGGCAGTTTTTGAGGCTTCAGCACTGCCCTGAGTTGTTCATCCATCAGAACAGTGTAAGCCTCAGATTGCACTGTCAAATCACTGACGCTCTTGCGCTTACTACTGTCTTTTGGACTTGTGCCTTCACAAGACAGCTAAAACTCCTCAACTTGCAAGCACTGGAGATGCAGGGAAAAACACATGTGGTCTGTGGGAGAGTACAAATAAGTATTGTCATGACCACAATACAGCACGCAATAGTGGGACAAGAGTGCGAATCCCAGCAGGCCTGCTTGAGCTTGGTAAAGCCTGTCATCTGCATTGTTGTCACATTCAAGTTGGACCAATCAAGCTGAAGTTGTCCAATCTTTAAAAAAGTGCAACGTGCCAGTGGTTCGGGCACGGTCTGCATCTGTGGGTTCTCGGCCAAGCTTGTCCGGGTGTACGAAGGTTGCCTCAGTGGACACAAGATGTCTGGTCTGTCCATCTCTACTTGCGTTTTGATATTTTGGCACACGATACTTCTATGCCAGTTCGGTTGAGGCATCAACCATCTTGTGGTAGGCCTTTCGCGTTTGTGATGCATCGAACTTGTTCATGTCAACCTTGGAGCATCCAAATGGCTGAAGAACATTGAAGAACTGATCTTTGCGGAAATTCACAGCAATTCACAGCATTTGAGCACTCCAGAACTCATCAGAACTCTCCAGCCTCAAACATCTTGAAGAGGTCGGTGCCATTTTCGAGGCACTGCACCTCATGCAGGACATAGCCCCACCAAGTACAGCAAGAGTCTTAACCATGGGCAAGCAACCCAGTTGCCATCTGCGAGTGAACATCGAAATTCACTCAACAAGACTGCAGGGATGTAATGGTTCTTACATCCGGACATTCTGGGTGCATCAAACCTGCTTTGGCACTGGACGGCTATCCTCGCCCTGGTTCGGAATGACCTTGAATTTTGCACAGAAGAACTTTACAGCGAAGCCGAGAAGGCTCAACCAGGGGTTGCCTCATGTAACAAAACTCCTGAAATGCTGGATCGCTACTATCGGCATCAGCGGGTCAAGAGCTTCTTTGCCAACCTTCCCAACCTCAGGACGTGTGCTTGGCTAGAAGTGCGAGGATGTGCAAGGATGATAAGGATGTGCGAGGGCCCTTTCATTTTCTCTCGGGGATCTTTTAGGCCCTAGGCCTTTTCGATATCCGGTGGGATCTTGTTTGGTTCAACAGGGGGGCATGATGGGGCATGCCTGTCTGATCTCCTCAGCTCTTCAAACCAGCAGCCAGAGGTGATGAGATGCGATAAGAATCCCTCAAACAGATTCGAACGGTCTATGCTCTTCCATGCTCTTCCGATCTATTCCAATCTACATCGATCTGGCCTCAGCGACTTGTTCAGTACTCTCAGGTGGCTGTTCTGGCCTCAAGTTCAGATGGGTGCCAGATAGTCGTCACGACCGCTGGTCTACTATTAGTTATGTAGTAATGTCATGTAATGTCTAGTATCGTCCATGGTCCATACTAGCATTCTGAGTTTTTGCGGGTTCACTGCAGGGTGCAGGGCTGAGATCTTGGCGTGGGGCCTGTCTCAGCTTGGGGAGCTGCTGCCTGCAGGGAAGAATCACGTCACCTCTACAAGAAAAGAACATAATCTCATCAAATATCCATTATTATACGTATATATATATATATATCCATATATATATATATCTAATGATATCTTCGTGAGGAATATCTCCCTCCAATCTTTACTATATGATTATATGATCCAATATCTGCCATGGTCAAAACATGGTGGATGGGCTATAGCTAGTCTATAGTCATCCATCCTATAATATCTATAATGGGAATCCTTCCAACGGTACAAATACCAGGTGTATATTATGAATTATGGATATCCATTAATGGATTGATGACCCCCTATGAGGGAAAATAGACCATGTGTTGACCATGCCAAAATGTTATATGGTGTTTTATTATGCTTTGTATTTATGATGTTTTATAAATGTTTTATACTGGATTTTGGAATATGTTGGATCCGTCCACAAAAATGACCCAAATAGTGACACGAAGTAATGCAAACTTGGTAAATCAGTGTTTTCGCAACAGCCTCAGAAGCCGCCGGAGCAGCTGGGGCAGTGCCTCAAGTTAATACTTTTCTGCATGTGAGTGTACACAAGGACTTCAAGGATACTGGTACCTTGCAAGACTCTAAGAATCCAGCCAGGTGCTTTAGCCTGCAAACACTCTGCACACAAGCATCCCAATCCGACATGCTGTCCCACATTGGAACATGGATGACTAATATGAACATACTAGTACTGTGGAGGTGCTTTTATTGATACTTTAGGATATTGATCCAAAGAATTCCAAACATCTGCAGTCAACATGGTTGAGGAGCGAACACTTGGCGCTCCAGAGCCTAAAGAAAAAACAGGAACGTTCGGAACGTCAAAAAAACTTGGCGTGGAACATGGTCCAAATGGTCCAAGTCAAAGAACATCTTCCTCCAAGTTCCTCATCCGTTGCGAATGATAACATGCTACATTTATCTACGTCGAATCTAACGTATTCTACATACGTTTCTCATCGTTTATCTACATTTCATGTTAGGAGCATGTGCCAAGATTAAATAGGTGGGAAATACATGGAAATGTGGGGTCAATCCCTGAGGGACAGACTCAATGAGCTCATGGGAACCATTCCTGGTCCTGCGCCATCTCCACCGGCCTTTGCGCTACAAGTTGAGCTCGTGAACTTCAGCAAGTTGGCATCCCGCGCGCTTGAGACCTCTTAATCGTCATCCTATCATGTCCATGTCCCAGTTATCCGAGTTCCTAAGGAACTACCACCAGTTCAGGAAATTTGAGGTGCCAGCATCCGGCCCTGGAGGCCGTGAGCCGCCAAGCGCCTGAACTAGGGCTCTGAAAACGTAGATCCATCATTTCCATCTCCTGTTAAATTGGTTTCAAACATCTTTCCAGATTACATACAGTATACGATAGTATACCTAACATTACGTAACTATTAGATGTATCTGTATATTGTAAGAAATATACAGGATTGTCAATATTGATCAATATTGTCAATGTATTGTAGAAGGCTTGAAGTTTGTGTTACTACATTTATCAATTTTATCAGTTGTTTGATGCTTTTTGTACCAATCCTTCCTGTTTTTGAGGCTCCAGCGCTCAACGGAATCATGGCGGCTTTGACCTGCCCGGAGTGGCGATGCGAAGCAACAAGAGCAGTGCAGTGCGGCTTGACCTCGAGGCCGCTGAAGTATGCGCTTCCCACTCCCCCGCTGCAGCCAAGAAATCGGCAACGAATCCATGAGAATCCAGGAATGACATGGGATGACTATCTGCTCTGGTGCACCATTGCGGTTGGCGGTTGACCTCTTCGAAATGTGTAGAGTCAACTCCAACAACAGCGGAATAGCCAATTATATAAATTAATAACTGTATCAGAATGTCATAATTTATATATCATATTATATCCAATTATTCTCTATCGGATTCTATCGGCCGAATCATGCAAATGCAGGTGAAGCCTCACTAACGAGGCCGGCGTTTCATGACTTTTCCACATGATCAAAGGGTTTGCCTTCAGGGCTGAAAGATGCTGAATGCACCATGTAAGCAATCCAGTCGCTTTAGATCCTGGATCGTCCTATTCAGAAGCGCCAGAAGCTTGCTGGCCCCTGTACGTGACCTCAACATTGAACAAAATTAATGACCACGAGAAAAAGAATGAAAAAGCTGAAGTAGAAAGAGTATGAAGAGTAAGAAATCATGCCGAAAGCGAAACAATACAACAAATTAATCAGCGACCAAAAGCCATGCAATATCTTTCGAACTTAAAAGCCACAAAATGCGTCAAGGCGCTTCCCCATAGAGAATGCCTCAACAGCTTGCAAATGTTTAAAGCCACAACCACTTGGTGGAGCTTGAATGTTTGTAAGTCTCTAAATTCAGCGCATGCACACATGCAACGACACTGATGCAGTCTATCCAACTAAGTCTTAGCAAAGTCTTAGCACTTGCTGAGCTCCAGACGGTGGTCAATCAAAGCAGCTCGAATAGAGCACTTCCTTCGAGGGATTGCAGAAAGCGCCGAAAGCGCTGCCGAGGTGCTCAAGTACGTTTGAAACTGCTCATTGTTGAAGTGGTGAAGACAAACTGATCAAAACGGTGCTCAAAACACAGCTCAAACTGTTTTTAAATTGGTGTGTTCCATTGTGTTTCCGGTCTGTGGGTCTGGCACTGGCATTGCGCTTGCCTCTAGGAAGGATCGGTAGATCTCCTGTGCAAATTGCGCAGTGAATCATACTGCTGAGTTGGGTTTGCATAGACGTGTGATGACGTGTGTATACTTACATGCTGAATCCTGCTGGGCTGTATCAAACTTGACATGTCTCCAATAGGGGTGTGTGTGTGTGTGTATGTGTCACTCTCAGAGTTTGTACCTACGCCATTGCTCCAGAATCTCAAAATATCTCAAACTGAACAAACTAATACGCGAACCATGCATTTTCCTCACTTTCCTCACCAGCATACCTTCTGTTAGGCATGGCTGGTGGCTTCTGAACAAAGCTGTGCAATGAAATACAGACAGTTCCATCATTCATCTTGAAGAGTGGCTGCTGTGCAGCAGTTGCATTGAGCGTGAAAAATTGTATCAACAATCTGCTCCTGGCAACTGCACCCCAGCCCGTCTACACACACAAGATCACATTCTATCTTGTTCTTGGCTCAGCAAGATATCTCCTAGCCATAGAGATTTCTGGCATTGGAGTGGACTTCATCTTGCATGCGGCGAACACCTTCAGCAGCCTTCTCCAGGTACGCTGAACCTTCCAACACTTTTGCCTTTCCCGTGGAGCGATCCCATGCAGCAAGCATTTTGGCATCACTGACAACTCGCCGTAAATCCGCACAGCAAAAGCTGTCGCTGGTTTGTGCTGCAGCCTTCACATCTGGTACTTCACCATCTTTGCCCAAAAGTTCAAGTGCTCCAGGATCTTCTTTGATGTATTTTCGAAGGATCTCTCGCTTTTGCCTAGGCTCGGGCAACTTGGTCTTCAGCCACAGCTCGATGCGGCCACTTCGGAGCAGCATGTCTGCCATCCAGTAGACGTTCTGCCCCGTCAAGATCACCACCACATCACCATTTTCTCGTTGCCGTTTCCCACGAGAGGTCAAGCCATCCATGCGGCCCAACAGGAAGCGGAAGACATCGGAGCCACGGTGCCCGTCCATGGGACGCCAGCCGCCAATTACAATGTCAGCATCGTCGATGAAGACCACTGCTGGAGCAGCTGCCTGTGCTGCAGCAAAGACCTTGATGATGTCGGCCTGACTACAACAGGACTCAGACAAAAAAACGGAGCTGTCAGGAAATCTGATAGGAATGGGAAAGCCATGGAAAGCCTACATACTGGAATCAGAAGTCTGCATCCACCCTCGAGAAATCTTGAGAGTATAGAGACAGTGTAAAGACTGTGTAACATCCAGAGAGTTGGATGCCGGGAAGTCATTGGGACGTCAAGCCGATCTAAAAAGATTGAAACAGGTCTTAAGATGTCTTAAGCAGCCTGCAGCATCATTTCGCGGACGAGGAAGAATTTTCCCTTCAGGCGGTTCGCCAGCCAGCGCCCCACAGTTGTCTTTCCCGTCCCGGGCTGTCCATGAAGCAGCACCCCTCTCTTAGGTGTGAGGCCAAACTTCTTGGCCTGGTCTGGATTTTCCAAGGGAAACAAGACATTGCGCTCCAACTCCTCTTTGATGCCTTCAAGTCCAGGGAAGTCTGCCAAGTCCACTGGCTCCACCTCCTCAGGAGCTACTGCAGAGACCGAGACCAATTCGTCACGAATCGATGCCACCAAGGCCTCAGTTGAGATTTCACCCTTGGAAAGTACTCGAGCTACGCTGGCTTTGAGATCTGCTGGAGACAACTGGGAATGCAGAGCATAAATCGCTTCAGCATCCACTTGCGCTGCCATCGCCATGAGAACCGTCGCATAGTCTTCGGCATTGGACTCCCCCAGGGTGACAGTCAGAGGAGCCTTCCCAGGGCAGAGCACGACAGAGCAGATAGGTGCCAAAAATGTCAAAAATGTATCAAAGGCAGAAAACATGTTGTGAGTCCACAAAAAAGACGGCAGAATGAAGGATTGGGGAACTTCCGCGCATTTCTCTGGTATACAGTATACAAGACTAATGACTAATTACAGATTACATCAGACATCAAAAGACCATAGAAGACGAATAATACTAATATACTCGTAGCATCTTTGTAGCGACTTTGCCTCATATTTCTAGTATATTCATATTTCATCACCAAGCCAAGGCCTTGATGAAGGCAAGATGAGCATCTTCTACTGATGAAAACGCAATGACCCCACCAGCTGAGATTGCTGCATCGCTCAATGCCTTCAGCAGCCTGGCTGGTGTGGGCGCAACTTCCCAGTTGAAGAGGTCACCCGAACCCTTGATGTCTCCAATGAGCGTTCGCGAACGCCGCACAGAGCGTGGAGCGCAAGCCAAATCCAAGTCATCAATGACTGCGACACCGTACTTCTCTAGAGAAGCGACAGCTGCTGAATACAAAGCTTTCAAAGCTTGTCCTTCCATTTGTTCATGATGTTCAAGTGCAGTTGCAACACCCAGGAGAGGAACTCCGAGTTGATCAGCGGCAGCTTTCAGAACAAATGTCACACCGTATCCTCGGCCTAGAGCAGGTGGTGATCGGAGTTCCACAAGCGGAGCTGCTTTGGTCTTGATGGCACCCATCAGCTCATCCTTCGCCTTTTGCTGACTTGGGCTCATAGAGGGTGCTTCGTTCACTCCGTTCATGCCGGTCATGAATTGAATCTCTCTGCCTCTACGGCTTCTTGAGAATTTTGAATTCAATGTGCTGCGGACGACGCAGTGAAACATGCCGACCATCACTGACCTCCGAAACAAGACGCATCACAAAAGGCCTGAAGGATCCTGAAGGCATGTAGAATGAATCCTTCAGATTATCAAGCGAGATTTGATCATATGAAGTGATCTTGATACGGTTTACCATTGGTCCATCTTGGTCCGCAAGCCTCCGCTTTGGCTCTGGAGGAGCCTTGAAGGGCGGCTGTGAACTGCTCCAACCTTGGACTAACTGTGAAACGGCAAAATCTGCCAAAAGAAAACAGGAAGCCCATTGCTCAATGGATTCCGATGATCCCAATGGCATTTCAACAAAAAAATGAAAGATTGAATGTTCCTTTCAGAGAGTTTGTCAAGACACGGTCCTTGAGTGTGTGAATGAATGGCCTATTCACCAAGCCGCACAACCACTTGACCACCATCAACAAGCTGACTGTTGAGCAGCCCAGCACTGCTTCGACGGCAGCTCCATCCTCCCGATTTGGCCACTCAGCCTGTCTCGAAGTTTAATGGCACCATTGAAGACCTGTGTCTAAGTCCTCACACTGCGGATACCTGTGGAGGAAGTGCTTCTCGCTGAAGGTCTCTGTAAGCCTGCCACGCATGACACATTGATCATGTTGCATGGCGGCCATGGCGGGTCTTCAACCACAGTTTCTGCAAGGTGGGTACAAAATCGTACCAACATCCACGAACTTTTGAACTGCAGGAACCTGGTAGATCCTGGTAGCCGCTTAGCCTTAGTGATCCTTAGTGTGACTTTGGTTTTCACCACCGGACGCCTCTTCTGCAGCAACTTCAAAGCTGTGGTGCCAAAAGAGTCCATCTTCAACCTCTCAGGCCGGGACAAGAATCATGTGACCAAACCATTTGCCAGAACTGAACAGCTAACATCTGGATACTGCAGTGCATGGAGGCAGTCCTAGTCTTTTGGGGCACACTTCATGTCATCAAGATTGAACAGCCCGACTCAGAAATTGGCACGAAAAATCAACATCCCACAAATTTCACTCTTGCCAGGTCTGGGTAGCATGTTGAAAGTTGAGGGAACAAAGGCTTTGTTTGCGAAATAAGATCGCAGAATACGATGCATGTCACAACATGAAAAGCGGTGCCTCCCGCCAAATGGTGGTGTCATCCAAACGTCTGTGAAGAGCCTCCAAGGACAATGCCATGAACAGCTGACAGCCGAAGTCAAAAGTTTTGTGTCTGCGCCTCATTGTAGTCAGCAACGAAGTCTCTGCAGTCCTGCAGGAAAAATATCGAACATGAAATAAAACATATACACAACTATACACAATTAACATGGACTGCGCTTCAACTGCTTCAACTCTTTGATCTGAACCTCTCGCTCCTGGAAAAACGGCTCCACATCCTGCTGAGCCACCTGTTGGAACACTGTGGACAGCGCTCCAAACTGTATCGATTGTATACCGCTTCACTGGCAATGTCCGGTTGTCCAAGTTCCTACCTGTTTCCCAGTTGCAGACATAATTGCAACTAGAGCAGTGACAGCAGTAGCAACAAACTAACCTCCATGGGTCATTCTTTTCAAAAGGCTGCGGAACAGATGCTCTGTCAGTGCAACAAGTGCAAGCCTGGCCCGCGAGGTCAAGTAGTTTTGCAGAATCCTTCACGCAACTGTGCTCCGCTGAAAACTTGAAATGACGTAAGCAGTCGTTTGCAATCGGTGCCAAGCTGCAGCTAGATGGCAACTGTCATTTAAATGTCAGCAATCTTAGATTAGACAAGATAAAATAGGATAGGACTGGATTGGATTAGATTAGATTATATAGATAGATGGGTAGATCGGTAGATAGGCAGACAGGTAGGTAGGTAGATAGGTAGATAGAGAGATAGAGAGATAGAGCGATAGAAGTAGAGAGATAGAGAGATAGAGAGATAGAGAGATAGAGAGATAGAGAGATAGAGAGATAGAGAGATAGAGAGATAGAGAGATAGAGAGATAGAGAGATAGAGAGATAGAGAGATAGAGAGATAGAGAGATAGAGGTGGAGAGATAGATAGGGAGATAGAGATGTGGAGAGATGTGGAGAGATGTCGAGACAAGTCGAGACAAGTCGAGACAAGTCGAGACAAGTCGAGACAAGTCGAGACAAGTCGAGACAAGTCGAGAGATGCCGAGAGATGTTGAGAGATAGATAGAGAGAGAGATACATAGATAGATAGATAGATAGATAGATAGATAGATAGATAGATAGATAGATAGATAGATAGATAGATAGATAGATAGATAGATAGATAGATAGATAGATAGATAG